GCTCCCAAGTGGAGGGGACCCAGAGAAGTAATCCGTATAGGTAAGAGCAGTTGGGGTTTTAACCCTTGAGTTATTCCCGCCCCATTCATGTTCTCGTCGAGAGAAGTCCTTTCAAACTTCCTCCGGAGTGATTGATCTTTGACTCTGATACTGGATTGGTTACTTGGTCCACAGCTCTGAGACACAGAGCCCTCTCCTCCCACAGCTTTTGGTGTTTTTTTTGGGACAATGGGGCTTCACCTGACCTTCCCTACATAGCCGGCGGCGGGAAATCCGTATAAAGAACTTTACATTCCAAACCCCTCTTGTTCCCTGACGGAGGCGTGGATTTTGGATTGAGGTGTGGAGGAGGTGCTCAAAGGAAATCCCTGCTTTTGAAACCATGACCCTCGTGGACCTGGGAAGTTTTTCTTTAACACAGTCCCTCATAAACACCATCTCTGGTTCTCTGTTCATCTCAGGAAGTTTACGCATCTTATTATCCTTTCTCTTACCCCTTTGCTGATGATTCTGTCCGCGTTTAAAATGTCAGGCATCTCCCGACATAATAGTAATAATAACGAAGAAAATTTTCCTGGACTCCACATCCAGGGACTGAGCACATTATGTCTTTTCTTCCTTTTCGTTTTTGTTTTGTTTTGTTTTGAGAGGGAATCTCGCTCTGTCCCGCAGGCTGGAGTGCAGTGGTGTGATCTCACCTCACTGTAACCTCTGCCCGCCAGGTTCAAGCTATTCTCCTGTCTCAGCCTCCCGAGTAGCTGGACTTACACGCGTGTGCCACCACGCCCCGCTAATTTTTGTATTTTTAGTAGAGACAGGGTTTCACCATATTGGCCAGGCTAATCTCGAACTCCTGACCTAGTGATCTGCCCATCTCAGCCTCCCAAAATGCTGGGATTACAGGCATGAGCCACCCACACCTGGCACTATATCTTTTCTTTAGACAAATTTCATAGAAATGTTTAAACTTGCTGATTCCTTTTTTTTTTTTTTCATAATCTCCTCATTCCTTATTCACTCTCACCTGGCTAAAGCCCCCAAACCCCACAATTAAGGTTCTAGTGGCCCTTGTATTGCTAAATCTCGTAGATACTTTTAAGTCTGCTTGCATGTTTTCTAGGCAAGATTTGACCCCGTTAGCCCATCCACTTCTCTTTGAAAACACCCTTTCCTTGGTTTCTGTGTCATATTCTGGTTGTTTTCCTCCCATGTCTTTAGCTGCTTATTTTCAGTCTCCTTTGTCCACTCCTCCTCTCTACCCAAGCCCTAGGTAATCTCTTCCACCCATGTGGTTTCACAGACTCTATGTCAATAACTCTCAAATCTCTATCTTTGGTCCATTCTTCTTTCTCCTAAACTCCACTCCCATAAAGCCAACTGCCAAATATCCTAAAGCAGACATCATTTCGCTATCTTGAAGAGAGCTCAAAAGCCATGTCTTAATGCTATGCTTACCATCTCTGCCCTCACTTCATGTACTCCTTTTCACTGTCCGCCCAGGTGCTCAAACCAGACTACTGACTTGTTCCTCTCCTTCTCTCCCAAAATAACCACCAAATTCTGTCATGTCCACCTCTTAAATATCTTTCAAATCTTCCCCCTTTTCTTTGCCTCTGCTGCCACCACTCTTGTCCAAGCCACTAACATCACTTACCTGACCTATTTAGTATTCATTCACCAGCAAATAATTATTGAGTTTTCAATCCTTGCCAAGCACTACCGTAGACATTGAATGTCTAGCAGAGACTCAGATACAAGAGTTCTCTACCTTGTAAGTAACACCTAAATCTTTGAATCCATGCTTTGTCTTCCAACTCTTGAAAGAGACACTGATATAGAGAAAACATTCTCCTTTATATAATAAACACTGCAGGCAAATATGTGGCAAATGACATTTGTACCAACGGAGAAAAGACAACCTGTGGTGGAATAAGCTCTGGGGAACTGGAGAGTGGGTGCCTTGAGTACAAAAGCATCTCTACTTAGGTCTAACCACTGTTTCCAAGAAGAAATACGAGCCAACAGAGAGCATTCAGACCTTCTACTTTTTAATTCTAGTTTTTATGTGACATTGTCTTATGGGATTTTACATATTTCCTTGCTTGTAAAATTTATTTATATATATATATATATATATATATATATATATATTTTTTTTTTTTTTTTTTGTAGAGACAGTGTTTCACCATGTTGGCCAGGCTGGTCTGGAACTCCTCAGCTCAAGCAGTTCACCTGCCTTGGCCTCCCAAAATGCTGAGATTATAGGCATGAGCCTCTAATCTTCTCATTCTAGATTAGTCTCTTATAAAAGGAAGAAATACCACTTCCTTTGTAACAAGGAAGATTATAGGCTCCTGGCCTAATATTTATTTCTTATAATACCTTACATCCCATATTACAAGCCATGTTTCTATGCCAAAACCTATATCTTGAAAATTGCTGTGCTTTTCTTGGAGGTAAGATGTCTGAACCCTGGCAATATTCTTAATCTAGAATAGGTCAGATCCCAGACATATTGAATAAATTATGTTCTGCTATATTTTTAGAAATACTTCTAGAGATTTTTCACATAAAGAAACTTAGCAAACTTAACAGCATAAAATTTCCTTTACTTGACAAAGATCATATATCAAAAACCTTCATAAAATATTTAAAAACTTCAGATATATCTCTTCAAAGAATAGGAACAATAAAAAGACAATCTCTACAACTGCTATTTGTTATAACTACTAGAAGATATTTATTCCTGATTTTTTCCTTCTATGTTTGGGAGAAAACTCATTATTTTGCTATCCCTACCTCAACTTCGTAACATAATAGTAATCAGTCTCTTAGACAAGATCTCTTTTTTAAAATCATTGGAAAAGACTATTCCTACCTTCTTCTTTTATTCTGGTAAAGTACATAATATAAACATTCCATTTTAGTCATTTCCAAGCATACAATTCAACGGCATCGAGTATATTCATGTTCTTGCACAACCATCACTACTATCCATTTCCAGAACTTTTTTATCATCCCATACTGAAAATCCATACCTACTAAACAATAACTGCCCATTTTCCCGTTTCCCCAGTCCCCGGAAAACACTATTCGACTTTCTGTCTTTACCATTTGACTATTCTAGGTACTTCATATTGGTGGACTTATACAATATTTGTCCTTTTGTGCCTGGCTTATTTCACTTAGTATATAATGCCTCAAAAGTTTATGCATGTTGTACCATGTATAAGAACTTGATTCCTTTTCATGGCTGAATAATATTCCATTATGTGTACATACAACTTTTTAAATCTATTCATCTGTTCATGGATATTTGGACTGTTTCCACCTTTTGGTTATTATTAATGCTGCAAGGACACTAGAGTACAAGTGTCTGTTTGTGTCTGTGCTTTCAATTCCTTTGAGTATATAACTAGGAGTAGAATAGGTGCATAATATGTTCATTCTGTGTCTGGTTTCTTGAGGAACTGTTAAACTGTTCTTCATAGCATCTGCTCCATTTTACATTCACATCATAAATAGACAAGGTTCCAATTTCTACATATCTTTGCCAAAATTTACTTTTTCTGGCTTTTTTTTTTTTTTTCTCCTTAGAGACAGGAGAAACACAGACTTGCTTTGTCACCAAGGGTGGAGTGCAGTGGTGCAATCATAGCTCACTGCAGCCTCAAACTCCTTGGCTCAAGTGGTCCTCCTGCTTCAGCCTCCCAAGTATCTGGGATGACAGGCACACACCACCACACTTGATTATTTTTTTTTTAGTTTTTAGTAGAGCTGGGGTCTTGCTATATTGCCCAGGCTGGTCGTGAATTCCTGGACTCAGCGATCCTTCCACCTTAACCTCCTCAAACACTAGGATTACAGGCATGAGCCACCATGCCCAGCCTTATTGTGGTTTTTATTTGCATTTCCATAATAATGTTGAACATCTCTTTATGTGCTTATTGGCCATTTGTGTATCTCTGTTGGAGAAATGTCTACTCAAGTTCTTTGCTCACATTGAATTGAGTTGTTTACGTTTTTTTGTTGTTGAGTTCTAGTTCTTACATATCCTGTTAAGGGATATTAATCCCTTAACAGATACGTGAATTGCAACTATTTTCTCCCATTCTGTGGATTGCCGTTTTATTCTGTTGACAGTGTCCTTTTATGTACAAAAGTATTTCTTTTTTTTTGAGAAAGTCTTGCTCTGTCACTGGGATAGAGTACAGTGGCACAATCTCGGTTCACTGCAACCTCCACCTCCTGGATTCAAGCAATTCTGCCTCAGTCTCCCGAGTAACTGGGACTACCGTCATGCACCACCATGCCTGGCTAATTTTTGTATTTTCAGTAGAGATGGAGTTTCACCATGTTGGCCAGGATAGGCTCGATCTATTGACCTCCTGATCCACTCGCCTCGGCCTCCCAAAGTGCTGGAATTACAGGTATGAGCCACCGCACCCAGCCCAAAAGTATTTTTTTTATGAAGCCCAATTTGTATATTTTTTCTTATGTTGCTTATGATTTTGGTGTCATACCATGAAATCTACCAAATCCAATGTCATGAAGGTTTTCCTCTGTTTTATAGTTTTCACTATTATATTTAAGTATTTGATTCATTTTGAGTTTGTTTTTATATATGGTGTTAGGTAAGGGTCCAACTTCATTCTATGCATGTGTATATCCAGTTTTCCCAGCACCAACTGTTGAAAAGACCTTTCCCCAATAAATGGTCTTGTGCGGTATGTTTTTAAGATGACAGCTAAATCAAAATAATTGATAACACTGTGCTAGCTAAACAAAATATGTGCAGGCTGGATTTTGGCCCAAAGGCCACTAATTTACAAATGTGTTTTAACTTCATTTTACATTAAATGTTCCAAGTGAGCTAGGAGGAGAGAGAAACTTACCATGGCTTAGCGTGTTCCAAGCACAGTACCAGGTACTCGTGGTAAACAGGTCAAAAAGATTAAGAGTTTAAAGTCCTAGCGTCAAGGAGTTTGAAGCTGAGTAAAAAGAGTTGTGAAAAAAAACTTTATTTTAGTACTTTTTCAGCAAATGTTTTTAAATACAGGGCCCAAGCCAAGAACAGGTTGAGAAGAGAATTAGAAACAGTTTTTGCGTTGTTTTTCGTGAGCTTAACAACTCACTTTGTTGCCCAGCCTGGAGTGCAGTGGCGCGATCTCGGCTCACTGCAACCTCTGCCTCCAGGGTTCAAGCGATTCTCCTACCTCAGTCTTCCGGGTAGCTGGGACCACAGGCCGCGCTTCACACCCAGGTAATTTTTGTATTTTTAGTAGACACGGGGTTTCACTATGGTGGCGAGGCTGGTCTCGAACTCCTGACCTCAAGTGATCCGCCTCCCTCGGCCGCCCAAAGTGCTGGAATTACAGGCATGAGCCACGATAAATGGAGGAAATACACACACACATACGTACAAGTCTGACAACTGAGAGATAAATGGAGGAAACACACGCACACGCACACACGCACACGCACACACGCACACACGCACGCACGCACGCAAGTCTATGACAACTAAAAGAGTACTCTGCAAGTATCCAATTGCCTACGGTCAGCTGTCTCCTCCAAGCCGCTTCTTTCAGCCGGGAAAGTGTTCCCCGCGTGCTGTTACGTCAAAAAGCAGCGCCGGAAAGAGAGGGCGGAACGTCCGCCGAGCACAGCGACCGCCTGAGTCTACTGTGTGGACTGTTGGGAGGGCTGCGTGCTATCTGTGGCGCGGATCCCTGGGCGTCATTTCGCGGCGAAGTCTTGCGTCCTCTGGTGTCCTTTTTCTTTGCGCCAGCGGGAACCACTATCTCTGCATTCCTGGTAAGCGCGTTTCTTCTTTCTCCTACTGTGTGTTGGGGGTGGGAGGATGCCGGAAACGTATCAAGGTGCACTTAGTGGAGCATGTGAGCTCGGAAGGCCCACAGGTAAGAGGAAGCCCAGTGATTTAATAAACTATAGCTAGGACAGTACCTGAAACAAAATCACTGGTTCCCGAAACGATATCCTTGATTACTTTTTAAAATTGGAGTTTTCCGCCGGGCGCGGTGGCTCAAGCCTGTAATCGCAGCACTTTGGGAGGCTAAGGCCGGCGGATCTTGAGGTCAAGAGTTTGAGACCAGCCTGGCCAATACGGTGAAACCTTGTCTCTACTAACAATACAAAAATTAGATGGGCGTGGTGGCTCGCGCCGGTGGTCGCAGCTACTCGGGAGGGTGAGGCAGGAGAATTGCTCAAACCCGGGAGGCGGAGGTTGCAGTGAGCCGAGATCGCGCCACTGCACTGCAGCCTAGCGACAGAGCGAGACTACGTCTAAAAAAATAAAAATAATATTGGGGTTTTCATTTCCGTGATATTCTAAGTCTTTACCAGTTACGAGAATAAAACGTTTAGAACTCTTGTTTTTGAAGTCAATGTTTATTAGATTGGGGCCTTGGGACCCCAGGTTAAATAGTTCCGGAATTCTAATTTAAATTGTTTTGTCTTTAAAGGGAGGCCGAACTCTCTCTCTCTATACACACACACACACACACACACACACACGTATATACGTATATATGTTTTTTAATGTGAGAAGCATCGATCTAGGGTATTAGAAAAACATTTGCATGATTACTGTCAAGCATCGGGTTCAATGTTAACATTATAGACAAAGCCCTTGTCCTCAAGATAGTCCTTACCATCTAGCGAGGCAGGTAACCAGGCAATTACAGTACAGTGTTAGAAGTACTGTCATAGGCACAAGAACGCTGTGAGAACTAACGGGGGAATACTTAAAGTGTAAGGCGAAGAAATAACTAGAGACGCTGCTGAAAAGGTAGGCAAAGCGATATGATGAAAATCTTTGTAAGCCACACTGATTAAGTTTGGACTTTAACCTGGCTGCAATATGTATGTTGGGAACAATACGAATGGAAAACAATATCCCTTGAAGAACAGTGGAGGAGGATCAGGTTGTAAAGCGAAGGTAGAGAGGTTATTTCTGTTTGTTGTACTTGAGGTTTTTTGTTTTTGTTTTTAAGACAGAATCTCATTCGTCGCCCAGGCTGCCGTGCAGTGGTGAAATCTCGGTTCACTACAACCTCTGCGCTGCGCCCCCGCCCCCCCACCCCCCGGGTTCAAGCAGTTCCTTTACTTCGGCCTCAGAATAGCTGGGATTATAGGTATGCACCACCATGCCTGGCTAGTTTTTGTATTTTTAGTAGAGATTGGGTTTCACCATGTTGGCCACGGTGGTCTCAAACTCCTAGCCTCAAGCGATCTTCCCGACTCGGCCTTCCAAAGTGCTGGGATTAAAGGAGTGAGCCACTGCAGCCTGCTTGCATTTGAGTGACTTTCTGATTAAAGGTTATTGAAGCCACAGAAGTAGGTCACACCTCACAAAGGAAATATATTGAAAAAAAGAATAGAATAGAATGTGGAGTCATATCCACCTTTAAGGGAGGGGTATCTGGACATCAGTGCATGGGTCAGAGCAGGAGACCTAGGAGCCTATGCAGGGTCATTAAATTAAGCAAGGGAAGAAGGAATTTCTCAGGTGTTTTATTTGCATTTCTTTTTTTTTTTTTTTGAGACAGTTTCGCTCTTGTTACCCAGGCTGGAGTGCAATGGTGCGATCTGGGCTCACCGCAACCTCCGCCTCCTGGGTTCAGGCAATTCTGCCTCAGCCTCCTGACTAGCTGGGACTACAGGCGCGCGCCACCATGCCCAGCTAATTTTTGCACTTTTAGTAGAGACGGGGTTTCACGATGCTGACCAGGATGGTCTCGATCTCTTGACCTTGTGATCCACCCGCCTCAGCCTCCCAAAGTGCTGGGATTATAAGCTTGAGCCACCGCGCCCAGCCTGCATTTCTTAAAAATTTGAATTCCCTGGGTTTTTTTCCTTCAAATTTGAGACTAGTTTTACATCTTTAAGTATCTATAATATCTCATAGACATCCAGGCCTCTAGGATAAAATTGTGGAGCTTTATATACATTTGTCCCAATTTTGGACATTTTCTTTGGCAGTAACATTATTTGCTGCAAAATAAAGCCTGAACTGCGAAAGTTTGTTGCTATTTGCTGATCAGCAGATCTCGGTATATTTCCATAATGAGGGCACTGGTACAACACTTCCTAAGTGCTTTTGACCTGTTGCCATTCTCAGTAACTTTCCTGTCCTTTGTCTTTATTTGTTGCTTTTGTGAAGGCTCTTGTGTTTGGTTCTGTATCTGGGCTTAGTGTAGAATGGAAGAGACTGTAGCGTCATGATGTAAGCCGCATCAGTGGTACATAACTTTGTTGCCAAGTAACATTGATTCTCTAGGCCCCTAGATGAAAATCTAAAAAGCATCTTCAACTTACCCTTTTAACTAAAGCAACAGTGCAATTCATGTCTGAAATAAGAACTCAACTAATTTTTTGTTTTGTCACCCAGACTGGAGTGCAGTGGCACAATCGCAGCTCACTGTAACCTCCACCTTTCAGGTTCAAGCAGTTCTCCTGCCTCATACTCCCAAGTAGCTGGGTTTACAGCTGCCCGCCACCACAACCGGCTAATTTTTGTATTTTTGGTAGAGATGGGGTTTCTCACCATGTTGGCCAGGCTAGTCTCAAACTCCTGACCTCACATGATCTCACCGCTGCACCCAGCCGAGAACCTAAGTTTTAAACTTTTTGCTCAGTGAGTGATCACAAGCTCCAGGCCACAGGAGTCTAGAGAAAAAAAGTGATGGTACAAAGATTTTACTTTGTGTTTCAAAAATAGATTTCATTTTGGTATTTCAGATTTATACTTGTACAATTACTTGGGAAGTTTTAAAAATCTTTGTCTAATTTTTAATCGCATTTTTCTTCTCTTACAGGAGTTCTCTTACATGTCTGTTTTCCTCAAAATGAGTGTTAGTGTCAATTTCTTCAGACCCTTTGCCAGGTTTTTGGTGCCATTTACCCTTCATAGGAAGAGAAATAATTTATATTCAACAGTATTGCAGAGATACATGTCTTCCAAAATACCAGCTGTTACTTGTGCTAATAATGAGAGTACATCCCCTTCTGAAGAGCTAGAATTGGATAGGTGGAAAACTACCATGAAATCTAGTGTGCAAGAAGAATGTGTTTCAACAATCTCAAGCAGTAAGGATGAAGATCCTCTAGCTGCCACCAGAGAGTTCATTGAGATGTGGAGACTGCTTGGCAAAGAAGTACCAGAACACATCACTGAAGAAGAGCTCAAAACCATGATGGAATGTGTTTCTAAAACAGCGAAAAAAAAATATTTAAAATATTTATATGCTAAGGAAAACGCTAAAAAAGCTAGGAAAATAAAAAAGGAAATGAAAGCAGCAGCAAGGGAAGAAGCAAAAAATGCCAGCCTGCTAGAAACCACTGAGGAAGATAAACAGCAAAACTTTCTATTTTTACGACTTTGGGATAGGAATATGGACATTGCAATGGGCTGGAAGGGTGCCCAGGCCATGCAGTTTGGACAACCTTTGGTTTTTGACATGGCTTATGAAAATTATATGAAACCAAAAGAATTGCAGAATGCTGTTTCCCAACTTTTAGAAAGTGAAGGCTGTAACAGAAGAAATGTTGATCCTTTCCATATTTATTTCTGCAATCTAAAAATAGATAGTGTGTATCATAGGGAGTTAGTTAAACGGTATGGAGAAAAATGGGACAAATTGCTTTTAACAGCAACAGAAAAGTCTTATGTAGATTTATTTTCAAAGGACAGTATTATCTATTTAACTGCAGATTCTCCCAATGTTATGACTACTTTCAGGCATGACAAAGTTTATATAATTGGATCTTTTGTTGATAAGAATATGCAGTCAGGCACATCCCTAGCCAAGGCAAAACGGCTGAAGCTGGCAACTGAATGCCTTCCATTGGACAAATATTTGCAATGGGGTGTTGGTACCAAAAATCTCACCTTAGATCAAATGATGCGTATTTTGTTATGTCTGAAAAACACTGGTAATTGGGAAGAGGCTCTGAAGTTTGTTCCCAAGAGAAAACATACTGGTATTCTGGAGATTTCTCAGTATTCTCAAGAGTTGGCCAACAGACTGAAGAAGGCAAAGACTTTTCATTCATTTTCAAAAAAATCCCTAAATGTGTATGCACAGAACAAGTGGTTCAAATGAGAACATCTGATGGCTTAAAAAGTAAATGGGTTGGAAATATCATTCTTTTAATGTATTTCTTCCCAAGCAATTCATTTTCTCTTCTAAAGGTGGTCTTACACAACTAACTGCAGGGTTGTGTCTTTTCCCAGTTAAGTATCTGCATAACTTTGAGATTATACTTTGTTTACTATAAAAAAATAATAAAGTAAAAAGAGTTGTCCAAGATTGTTGAACAGAATAATCTTTCAATTATCCTAGTTAAACAGTTATACCATTGGTACATTTTTTTTTATGGAGGTTCCTAGAGGGTCGTGCCCTGGGGAGGACATGGAACCTCTGCATCCCCTTCCCCCATACCTTGCCCTGTACATCTCTTCATCTGTATGTCTTGTAATGTCCTTTATAGTAAACTGGTAAAATGTGTTTCCTTCAATTCTATGAGCCACTCCAGCAAATTAATCAAGAGAAGTTGGTACCCCAACTTGAAGCCAGTCAGAAGTTCTGGAAGCCCAGATTTGCAACTTGTTCCTGGGTTGGGAGGAGGGAGCAGTTTTGGGGACTGAGCCCTCAACCTGCGGGCTCTGACACTAGGTAGATAGGATCTGAATTGAATTACAGAACACCCAGCTGGTATCCATGGCAGAACTGATTGCTTGTATGGTCTTGAACTGAAAAGTGACATCTGATTGATGTTTTAATGGGAAAACTAAAATATTAGCTCTGTGAAAGCAGAATTTTTTTTTTTTTCTGTCTTCACTGCTATATCCCTAGAGCCTAGTATAGTGCCTGGTGCTTAAACATTTGAATAATAAATGAATCTGACTCATTTACCCCACACCTTTATATATTCTTTATGAAAAAATTACAGAAATTTTTTCCTCCCCTCTGGATGATTGCATTTCTTCCTCTCTCTGATTCTTGTCTTTTCTTGCCCACTTGCTACTACTGCCCTGTTTAGGGATCTTCCTCTTGTCTTTTATCTCCTCCTCCTCCCTGCCCCATCCCACCCCACCCCAAATTGGATTCAATTTAAAAGGATCACTTTGGCTGCTATGTTGAGAATAGATAATAAGGGAGAGACCAGGTAAGAGGCTATTGGAGTAACAAAAGTGAGAGAAAATGGTTGTAGGAAAGTGGTAATCGAGTAGGTAGTGAGATGCAGTCAGATGTGAATTTATTTAGTTTGAAGGGGTAAAGCTGGCAGTAATGGATTAGATGGGAAAAATAAGATAAAATTTAGGGACAACTTCAACATTGTTGACTAGAGAAACTGGGAGGACTTGTTAATATTTACTGAAATGCCAAAGAAGTAGGCTTTGGGGGGGGCAGGTAATCTAAAGTTGCCTATTAGATGTCCAAGTTGAGATGTCAAGTGGGCAGTTGGACATATGAGCCTGGAGTTCAGAGATAAGCTCTGGCTGGAGATGTTAATATATAGATGGTTAAATGCTCCAGACTAGTTGAGGCCATCTAAGGAGTCCGTTTGGATAACGATATCTGATGTCTGAGCCCTTAGGTACTCCAACCTTTAAAGGCGTGGGAGATGAGAAGGAACCTGCAAATAAGATTGAAGTAGAACGACCAGTAAGAAGAAAAGAGAAAATGTCCTGGAGACAAAATGCAAAAAAAGTTTCATGCTGCAGATCAAGTAAGATGAAGTCTGAGAGCTGACCACCGAATGTAGGAATGGGGACATTGCTGATGATCTTGACAACCGCAATTTCAATGGAGGGGTGAAAAGAAAGTCAATTGGAGTAGGTTTAAAAGAGAATGGACAGGCTGAGCGCGGTGGCTCATACCTGTAACCTCAGCACTTCGGGAGGCCGAGGTGGGCAAATCACTTGAGGTTAGGAGTTCGAGACCAGCGTGGCCAACATGGTGAAACCCCAGCTCTACTAAAAATACAAAAAAAGCCAGGTGGAATGGCCCATGCCTATAATCCCGTCTACTTGGGAGGCGAGATAGAACTACTTGAAGCCAGGAGACAGAGGTTGCAGTGAGCCGAGATTGTGCCACTCCAACTTGGGAGACAGAGCAAAACTCCATCTCAAAAAAAAAAAGTGGGGGGGATAGGAGTGGGTGTGATGGCTCAAACCTGTAATCCCAGCACTTTGGGAAGCTGAGGCAGGTGGATCCCTTGAGTCCAGGAGTTTGAGACCAGCCTGGGGAGCACAGAGAAACCCTGTCTCTACAAAAAATTAGCCCGGCATAGTGGTACACACCTTTAGTACCACCTACTTGTGGGGGGAGGGGAGTAAGCCAGAGGGATCGTTTGAGCCTGGGATGTGGAGGCTGCAGTGAGCCAAGATCATGTCACTGCATTCAAGGCTGAGCAACAGAGCCAGACCCTATCTCAAAAAATTTTTAAAAAGGGCCGGGCACGGTGGTTTATGCCTGTAATCCCGGCACTTTGGGAGGCCAAGGCGGGTGAATCACCTGAGAACAAGACTTTGAGACCAGAGCCTGGTCAGCATGGTAAAAACCCATCTCTATAAAAAAAACGTTTTTAAAAAAAGGAGAATGGACAGAGCTATATGAGAAAGAGTATAAAGTATTTTCAAAGAGTTTCTATATGAAGGGAAATAGGAATGAGGAGCTAGAGGAGGACATGAGATCAAGGGAAAAGTCTTACTAAGATGGGAGACATAAAAGCATGTATGTCTGATGTTGGGAATGTTTCAATAGTAGGAAGAAAAGTCTGATGGAACAATAGAGTGATGTGTGTAAACAAGATGGACAGGCCCTACTTCATAAGTAACAGAAGACAGAGTATATAGGTATAAATGCAGGTACCACACCTCAGATACAGTTGAGAATATGTAAAAGTTCTATTTTGATTTCTATTATTTTCTTATTGAAAATAAAAAGCAAAGTCATCCCCTGAGTGGGAGAAGGTGATGGACATTTCTGGAGAGCCAAGACAGCATGAAATAGTATAGGAAAGTGAATGAATTAGGGCAGTGGCTCTCAAAGTGTGGTCCCCCAACCATTACTTGGGAACTAGTTAAAAATGCAAATTTCAGGCCCCAGCCACTGAGTCAACTGAATCAGAAACTGGCAGTGGGGCCCAGCACGCTGTTTTAACATGCCTTTCAGTTGATTCTGATGTACACTGAAATTGAGAATAGTCTAAGGACATGTAATAGAATTATAAGGCTACATTAAGAACCTACTTAATGGCTCACCCCTATAATCCCAGAACTTTGAGAGGCAGAAGCAGGAGGATCATTTGAGCCCAGGATTTCAAGGCTGCAGTGTGCTATCAACCACTGTACTCTAACCTAGGCAACAGAACGAGACCCTGTCTCAAAAAAAAACAAAACAAAAATCCTACTTAAGGTTAGTGAAATCATGATTAGCCACTTTTCTTCTCCACTCTATTTTTTTTTCTTTTTGTAGCTCTTGGCCTGAATTTCAAGTTCAGCACCACTTCTTGTGCCTGAATTCCCTCTTCCATAAAAATGGGATTAGGCCAGGCACAATGGCTCAAGCCTGTAATCCCAGCACTTTGGGAGACCGAGGTGAAAAAAATCACCTGAGGTCGGGAGTTCAAGACCAACCTGACCAACATGGAGAAACCCATCTCTACTAAAAATATAAAATTAACCTGGCATAGTGGCCCATGCCTGTAATCCCAACTACCTGGGAGGCTGAGGCAGGAGAATTGGTTGAACCTGGGAGGCAGAGGTTACAGTAAGCCGAGATCATGCATTGCACTCCAGCCTGGGCAACAAGAGCGAAACTCCATTATCAAAAAAAGAAGGGTAGGGGGGAATAATAGTAGCACTTAATTCATAGGATTGTAATGATTTAATGTACTTAATTTCAAATAAAATACCTTCAACAATGCTTGGTGTATAGTAAGCTTAAATATGTTAGATATTATAGTTGTCACCTCACAAATTACACATCTAAATTAAAATAATTGCTCATATTACCTTCCATTTCCTGCTTTTCTTTTTTCTTTTTTCTTTTTTTTTTTTTTTTGAGACGGAGTTTCGCTCTTGTTACCCAGGCTGGAGTGCAATGGCGTGATCTCGGCTCACCGCAACCTCCACCTCCTGGGTTCAGGCAATTCTCCTGCCTCAGCCTCCTGAGTAGCTGGGATTACAGGCACGTGCCACCATGCCCAGCTAATTTTTTCTATTTTTAGTAGAGACAGAGTTTCACCATGTTGACCAGGATGGTCTCGATCTCTTGACCTCGTGATCCACCCGCCTTGGCCTCCCAAAGTGCTGGGATTACAGGTGTGAGCCACCACGCCTGGCCCGATTTCCTGCTTTTTAAACCACTTAAATAGCTCATTAGAGGTTATAATCCATAGCTTCTATTAACCAAGCTCTCACCATGACCAGGCAGCATAATATAGATTTTACTTTTATTATCTCACTTAATGCCATCAGTAACCCTATATGTATTATTCCATTTGTATAGTTATGACATATTTCATAACATTTTTATCCCATCCAAACTCACAGAATTTAGCAAATGGCAGAGTCAGAATTTAAATCCAGTTTTTATGTGATACAAAACTGACGCTCTTTGCCTTGGACTACATTGCCTATTCATTGTCAGAAAATGATACCCCCAAATTCAGTGCTTTGACATGCTGAACTAGAGAAGCAGCCTCAAGGTTTATCTGATCTCCCACACGACCTCCTGCCTGTCAATCCTCTGCCTCCCCAAAAACACGGGATAAGACTGTTCTTTGAAGTTTCTTATCTACCTAGAAACGAGACCCATCAAAGAAAACAATTGCTTTCTATCTCCTTCCTCCCTGAAATGTCATTAATCAGAAGAAATTAAAACATTATGCAAAGCCAGCCAGGTACTGTGGTGCACACATGTAGACCCAGCTACTTGGGAGTCTCAGAAGGGAGGATTCTTGGGGCTAGGAGTTTGAGGCTGCAGTGTGCTATGATCATGTCTGTGAACAGCCACCACATTCCAGCCTGGGTACAGTTTGACCTGGCCTCATAAAAAACAAAAGAAAACAAAACTCACCTCACAGGGGAAGAGACTGAAAATTAACCACCACCAGATGGTTGAAGCTTAAATACTCTTCATAGGGGAGACAGAGGTGGAGGGTGTAGGCAATTTTTTTTTAAAACAGAGTTTCACTCTTGTCTCCAAGGCTAGAGTGCGATGGGGCAATCTCCGGTCACTGCAACCTCCGCCTCCCAGGTTCAAGCAATTCTCCTGCCTCAGCCTCCCAAGTAGCTGGAACTACAGACACCTGCCACCATACCTGGTTAATTTTTGTGTTTTTAGTAGAGATAAGTTGTTGCCATGTTGGCCAGGCTGAGACCAAACTTTGGATCAAACTACTGTTTTTTTTATTTTTGAGACAGGATCTGCTCTATCACCCAGGTTGGAGTGCAGTGGTGAGATCTTGGCTCACTGCAAACTTGCCTCTTGGGCTCAAGTGATCCTTCCATCTCAGCTTCCCAAATAGCTGGGATTACAGATGTGAGTCACCACGACTGGCCTTCAAATCATTGTTGCTTCTCTAGTTTCACTCGGTTTACAACGAGAATAATTTACAAGTTAATTTCTGTCTCCCAGGTGCATTCATCTCTCCTAAAATTATTTACTACTACTCTAAAATTGCTTACAGACCGGGTACAGTGGCTCACGCCTGTAATCCCAGCACTTTAGGAGGCCGAGGTGGGTGTATCACCTGAGGTCAAGAGTTTGAGACCAGCCTAGCCAACATGGCAAGAACCTGTCTCTAGTAAAAACACAAAAATTAGCCAGGTATGATGACAGGTGCCTGTAGTTCCAGCTACTTGGGAGGCTGAGGCAGGAGAATTGCTTGAACCTGGGAGGCGGAGGTTGCAGTGAGCGGAGATGGCCTCATTGCACTCTAGCCTTGGAGACAAGAGTGAAACTGTTTCAAAAAAAAAAAAAATTGCCTACACCCTCCACCTCTCTCTCCCTATCAAGAGTATTTAAGCTTCGACCATCTGACCCTTTTTTGAGTTTTCATATTTAATTGTATTATTCCCATGTTTATGCACATTATTAAATTTGTTAGCCTCTTCTCTTGTTAACCCATCTTTTGTTATAAGTGTGTTGGCATGACTCTTATGATGGGGTAGAAAGGGATCATGCCCTTTCTACCCCTTCATACTACAGTACCTTTTCATTTTCTAACCCATTTGTAGGAGGTTACTGAAGCTTGCATTAATTTCTTCAATAGATATTTATCCAGACTAGTATAATCCAGGTCCCAAGGAAACAGTGGCAAACAAGACAGGCACACCTCATGAAACTCATGGAACTGAAAGGTGAATGGATTACTATCTTCATCCTTTTTTTGTCGTTTTTTTCTTTCATACCTAGTCCTGTAGATGCATCCTTAACTTCTGTTGTGTGGTATATGGGAACTGGATCTGCTCCTAAATAGGTATGTGACCTCTCTGAGCTTTATCTTCCTCTCTTAAAAATTACAAGCATCTATAAATACATAATCTCTAATTAAAATCCTCGTGTATATCTCCATTTTTAAAATGACAGAAGCAAGAGTCTCAATGATTACCTTGAAAAGATCACAAGGAAAATGAAACAAACATGAATTATGTACCTGTAAGGCAGTTTCCTGTTACTTTTACATACACGATAAATGATGGATCAGGGACTTCAACCTAGATCACAACATCACCACCACACTGCCCTGCTTCTGTCATGGGAAACACACTTTGATACTTTCTTTCTCCACTTGAAGCCCGAGGAGTAATCTATGTGCAAATACTGAATACTTTTCATATATGAAATGCACAGTACAAAGTTTTTAAAAACTGCTCTCTGTTAAGAAACTTTTGAGCCATTCAGAAAGACAACACTTCAAACAAACAAAAAAAAAAAACACTGAGGGAAGTATGAAGTGACCAAATAATGACATACAAAAATGATCTCATTTGATCCCCACTACCGCTCTTTAAAGGAAGTACTACTATTATTCTGTTTTATAGAAGGTAGGTCTGTAGGCAGTAAGGAAGTCTCAAGGTTACTCAAGCAGGAAAGCGCAGAACAGATTCAAATCCAAGTTCTTGACTCCTGACTTTCTCTAGCTATATACTTACTGTAGGGCAAACCCAGAAACTCCAGTTCCCTAAGCAAGTAATAGACCCCATTTGGCTAAGGAGGTCTGGATAAACATTGAGAAAGGGAAAAGATGAAGCCAAAAAGTACGCTAGGGTCTAATGTAACTCATGGACTACATTCTGCAGGCTGTGGAAATACGCTAAAGGTTTTTTAGTAAGGCAGAAATTACTCGTCTTAACTTGAGAAAGTACTTTCTCAACCTGGTAGAATCAGCCTGTAGAAAAAGTAGCTTTACACTCGGCTACGTGACTTGGACAAATTACTCTCTTTGGCCTCAACTCTCACAGCTAATTGTGAGGGGAATTCTATATTTGGACAATCGCGGTGATTAAACGAGTGTATGAAAGGCGTATGAAGCTAGAGGGCGCTAGATAAACGCTGATTTCCTCTTCAAGTAGGGAAAAAGAATGCGGGCTTTCTGTTTACATAGAGTAGGCGGGCACTCGTTATCCAGCAAGGCCGGAACGGAAAACCCTCTTAGCCTCAGGTGCAGCCACACTTGGTATACGGAAACCTTCTAAGATCCGAGCATTTCCAGAGAGATGCTCCATTTCCCCTCACTTCTTCGGATCTATCGCTGGACCACGAACACCTAACTGCCTGTAGTAAAGTCCCTAGCCAGCACGCCACTTAGCCCAACCTTTCCAGCTTTTCCTTCCGAGGCGGCGATTCGATGACGTCACATCCGCTTCCGTTTCCGAAAATGGCGTCTTTTCAGTCTTCGGGACCGCTCTAGGCTGCCACCGCGCCGGCTGGCTCCAAAACTCAATGGTTTCTGGGCGGGGTCGTGACGTCCTTGGCGTGGCTGCAGGGGAGGCCGCGGCGGGGAAAATGGCGGACGGGAAGGCGGGAGAGGAGAAGCCCGAAAAGTCGCAGCGAGCTGGAGCCGCCGGAGGTGAACACAACCCCAGCGTTGCGGGCGGCGTGGGATGCTCCGGGCCTTTCTTTGAGCTCCCCAGGGTGGGGGTAGTGGGGTAGGGACGAGAATGGGCGAACCTGTACCTCACCCGGCCAGGTGCTGGGCCCAGACCTGCCCCGGGCACGCCCGGTGCGGCCCGCTGGGCTCCGGGCTCACATGGCTTCCTTGCCGGGGGAGAGCTGGCCACTGTTCGTCACCTCCTGGCCCCAGCGGAGGCCCTGATTCCGAAGAGAAGGGAGATGGGCGCCAGAAAGGGAGACCGAACTTGGGGTGGGACCAGGAGCGGCGGTGCAGGAGCCGCTACCGCCACACCGAAGACGCACATCACACAAAACACACACACCGGAGACGCTCATGAGACAAAACATACACACACCGCGAGCCACTGAGTGGTGGCCGCGGGAATTGGCCGCAGGCCGAGTTTCGGAAGGTGCCGGCCTCTCAGTTACACGCAGGAGTTAATTACGCTTGCTGCTCTCTTTTGCCTGAGGAGGTGGACAGCCCCGGCCTGCTCTCTTTCCTTTACTTCCAAGTTTCATACTGACCCTGTGACAGGATGGGCCGAGGTGATGGAGGGAAAGAGGAGTGCCCTTGCCTGCTCTCTTGTTTAAGTTGCCATTCTTTGAAGTACCTCCCTTAGGCTTTTGCCAGATACTTAGGTGACTAAATAGTCTAGCGTGAGTCTTCCTGTATTTTGTTACGATGTTAAACTCGGGTTACAGCTCTCCTTATTCTGTCCGTTCCCCTCCCTAAATTCGGGTCTTGTGAGTTGAGGGAAAGAAACGTGTAATCTTTCCAGCTCGTTCTTTGCACATAACAAGACAAGTGACTTAACACGTGTGAGCTGTTTAAAATGTTTTCAGAACGTTTTAAACATTATTCTCTATTCTGACCACCTCAATTATTATTCCTGAGATTATTTAACATGAGAAAGACGATTAATAGCATAGGAAGGCCACTAGTAGACCTACTAACAGAATGTTTCATGTGAATTGCCTTGGGAACAAAAATTATTGGAAAGATTAAGTGTAATGTTAATTACTGGACCCAGGATTTCCTTTTTAAAAAACACACAGTTTTGTTAGTTAAGCTGAAACTCCATCTCTTTCTCTTCCCCGCCTAGCCTTGCTTTTTTTTTTTTTTTTTTAAGTAGTAAAATACCTTATGACAGAACAATTTGAATTTAAACTATCTAGTACTTTATCACTAGGGAATTTTTTTTCCCTAAAAAATTGTCTTAGAAATTGTGGGATAAAACTACATAAAAATTTAGTTTGAGGAAGAGCAAAAAAATATTTAGAAGTAGTTTGAGCAAAAGCCTAAAGAATCTTAGGTTTTGATTTTAAGGCCATCTTGTTAACTGTCTTGACCTAGGGTAGCGGACGTGTTTAATGTTCTGTCAAAATGTACCTTGAGTGTCAGCATAAATCCGCCGTATAATTGATCTGCCATTCTGTCAGCTGAGGGATATTAGTTCTATAGTATGAATATTGATGTTTCCATTTTACCATGTGGAGAGAAGTAGTATAAAATTACTTTACTAATTGGTATCAGAAAAATTATTATGGTCTTTTTCTTGGTAACTTAGAGTAAGTAATATCCCTCCGTTAACTTCTACATAATTTGTCTCCTTACCATTACAGGAAAGTAGTGCTATTAACATTTAAGCCATTTTTGAATGTCAGATATTTTTAATGAAATTGTTCAGAGGAATCATATGTGATCATATTCAGTTATTCATATTCAGTTAAAATATGTCATACCATGGATATTGCTAAATTGGTAATTTTGTGGCAGATAGTAACTTTTTTGAAAAACTGTCAGGTTTGTCCTGGGGGCTTACCTAGAGAATGTTCTGAATTTTAATTTCTGTCTAGCAGTCTACTAAGTTGTAAGTATATTTTTTATGAGTAATTTCCATAGTTAATATTAATTTTTATTTGTTTATTTTTGGGGTTTTTTGAGACAGAGTATCACACTGTTGCCAGGCCGGAGTGCAGTGGCTTGATCTTGGTCCACTGGAACCTTGCCTCCTGGTTCAGTTGTTTCTCTTGCCTCAGCCTCCCGAGTAGCTGGGACTACAGGCGTGCACCACCATCCCCAGTTATCTTTTGTATTTTTAGTGGAAATGGGGTTTCACCGTGTTGGCCAGGATGGTCTCGATCTCTTGACCTCATAATCTGCCTACCACGGCCTCCCAAAGTGCTGGGATTACAGGCATGAACCACTGCACCCGGCCAGCATTAACTTATGTCTATGAGAGCTACTTATTTGAACTTCCTGCTTTAAAGAATAGGGTAAAACTTTGGTAGTTTCTTTTCTCCTCCCTTTGGTTAAATCTTTGTAGCTCTTTGAAATAAGGAGAAATTCAGAAGAGCTGGTCATATATAATCATGGCCATCTCAGGCTTTTTTGTTTATACCAAGAACTGCATCAATGAAATTGACATTTATTATGCCAGACACCAGTAGGGTCTGAATATATCATCATTTAGACTGCCCACCACTCTACATACTAGAGAGGTATCTTCCTGCCCTTCTTTCAAAAAAGAAGCAACGAGAATGCAAATGGGTTCTGAAGAATATCTTAACGGACTTAAACTTTCTTATTAGGTAATTCTTTTTTTTTTGAGACAAATTCTCACTCTGTTGCCCAGGCTGTAGTGTAGTGGCATGATCTCGGCTCACTGCAACCTCCACCTCCTAGGTTCAAGCGATTCTCCTGTTTCAGTCTCCCTTGCAGCTGGGATTACAGGTGCCTGCCACCATGCCCAGCTTAATTTTTGTATTTTTAGTAGAGATGAGATTTGGCCATGTTGCCCAGGCTGGTCTCGATCTCCTGACCTCAGGTGATCCACCCACCTCAGGCTTCCAAAGTGCTGGGATTACAGCCACTGTGCACAGCTTATTAGGTGATTTTTTTCAAAGTAAGTTAGTTACCTTTGTGCTCTAAGGCCCACCCCTCTCCAGCTACTCAGTGAAAACAAAAAATGCTAGTACCAAGTGTAATTTGATTTCATATTAATTATATGTTTTATTTGCTCAGAGTACAAATTATATAAAATTCCTTTTATTAAAATATTCCATAATAAAGAATCTAATAATTTGCTATTTAGTCCATGTTTTATGTTCTAAATTGGTAAGTGACCTCATTTTTAGAAAAACCGATCATGTATTTACCAATTCTTTAGTGTATAGATTGTTTCCACATGTAAAGCCAGCAGGTTTTCTGTATGTTTCTCTGTGTTCCAATGTGTAGAGCCAAAGAGTTTTTTATTTTAACTGTGTGTCAGTCACAGAAAAGTAGTTGTTGCTTGGGCTTCACTGTGAAATGTCATACTTGATTAGAACTACAAATAGAATACAGAATAAAATTAGCATAAATGCTTTTAGTTATAAACTGAGACTGAAAAAACTATATCATACTCATTTATTTATTTTTTTTTATTTTTTTAAAGATGGGGTTTAAAAAACCCACCATGTTGGTCAGGCTGGTCTTGAACTCCCGACCTCAGGTGATCCACCTGCCTTGGCCTCCAAAGTACTTGGATTACAGGCGTGAGCCACCACACCCGGCCCCCTACTCATTTTTAAAAGAAATTCTGCACTTCATAGAGTTCCATTTTTGAGCTGTTGAATAGCAATCTTGATGCTTTAATTCTTCAGGTGCTTTTGTAATTATATATAAATAAGAGAATGGCACCTCAAGCAACCATTTCAGTGCTATCTTTGTCTCCTAGGGAAATGCCAAAACATAATCCTGCTTAATTCCCTCTATACTATCATTACAACTTTTACTCCTTGTCCAAAGGGAATAAAGGTTTTTTTAAGTTTTTCATCTAAACAAAATCAAATGTTTTGTTTGAAGTGCTTACTAGAGATCCCATCATTCCAAAACTATATAGATCTGTATCTATCACCTCTGATCTTTTAATCTTTTGCTTGTCAGTCTGTTTGTGTTTTATCTTTTTTCTCCCCATTCTAGCTTTGTGTCCTGCTTTCTTAACTGTTATCAAGGCCATCTCTTGAAGCATCTTTTTTTCTCCATAAATAAACTCTTGATTCAGTGTAGAAGAATACATTCTATATGGAGAACAGGCAAACTGGAGAAAGAAAATAAAATTTTTAATGATCAGCCAGTCTCTGTCTTATCACCCAGTATAACAGACCCAAGAAAGTCACAATGTGAACTGATTTCATCATTGACTTCATACAAACAGAAGCAAAATTAGGAAGACATTTTATCTTCCAGACCTACATATGTATGCGTTCTATGTTTGAAATTATGATTAGCTCATCTTTCATGAAAAAGTCTAAATGATTTTTTTTCAAATAGCTCTTATGGATAGGTTAAAACAGGTGATAACCAAGTTGTCAGAGTAGAATTACATTTCTCAAGAATGAATGACCTTGAAGTTCCTTTTCAGCTCTTAAGATTGTGTGAGATGAACATGAGGAAGAAGACATCATTCAGGAAAATAACTAGGCTGTATTAACACTGTCATTTGGGTAGTAATGAGTCTGTTCATAACTAGGTACTTTGTATGATTATTATTACATTACTGAAGAGTATTACAATTTATTAGCCAAGTGTGTTATTTTACAATGTGACTATTTGCGCACAAACTACTAAGTGTAAAAGATGTTAGATAGATCTGATTTCTAAAAAGCAAAATCCCACAAATAACCAGATTATTGTACAAATTGTGGTGTTTAGTTGAAGGGTCTTTACTCTTTGTGAACTCTTTGTTTATAATTTTAAATTGCTCTGTATTTTATGCTAGTTAATTCATGGGAGCCTCTTCTACTGCCACACAATCTCAGTTCCTGCTGTATACTCTAACAAACAGTGGAAGAGACTGTTGGGTCAGTAGGTGACAACTGCAGAGGTATCTTCCTTATAACGATGCTTTTTGAGGTTGCTGCTCCCATCAATCTGCTCAGTAAAAATAGCTCATCTTGGTAAGTTGTTTCGACTTCACCAGGACCTGAAGAAGAAGCAGAAAAACCTGTGAAAACTAAGACTGTTTCTTCCAGTAATGGAGGGGAAAGTTCCAGTCGCAGCGCTGAGAAGCGATCAGCTGAAGAAGAAGCTGCAGACCTCCCAACAAAACCTACAAAGATCTCCAAGTTTGGATTTGCCATAGGTAGTCAGACGACAAAGAAAGCATCAGCCATATCCATCAAACTTGGATCAAGTGTGAGTTGTTGTTTCATATATGATGTTTGTAATGGGTCTTAAGGATTTGTTTTGGAAACCTGGCATTTATTAGGTTATGGTAAATAAAGGGTGAAAAGGTACATTGTTTGAGAAGTAATCTTTCATCTATGAACTTAGATGATTAGCACCCTGTCCAAGAAGGGTCTGGATGACTTTTATCTCAATAAAGCTGTTAAGAAAGAAAGATTTGGAATATTAGAAGGAACAACTAGTATAGAGAATATATGATTTATAAAATGATAACTTAGAATTGTTCTAAGTTGGCTGGGCACAGTGGCTCACACCTGTAATCTGAAAACTTTGGGAGGCCGAAGTGGGAGGACCAGTTGAGCCCAGGAGTTTCAGACCAGCCTGGGCGACATGGCGAGATCTGTCTCTACAAAAAATAAAAATATTATTTAAAAAAATATTTTTTCTGAGTTGAGTAAGTCCTCCAAAAAATATTTTCAGAAAGATTTTCCATAGTTTATGCTTCAGAGCCTATAATATTAAAAATAATATTGAGAAGTCAGTTATTTTTATCTTAAAAGATTAATATTAGTAAGGTATTGCTTGATAAGATCTACCTAATTATCTTACTTTGGCACTACAGAAGGGCATTAAACTGTATATCTTATGTTGGTAATCCTTTATAGGTCAGTATTTGATCCCTTGTTTTAAGGTGAAAGCCTTGAACTGATGTTTATTAACCATGGAACTTCTGGAAGTATTTGCAATATTAATTTAAAACGTATTAAGTTGTAGATATTTGTTTCTGACCTATAATATGAAAATTTCATAATCTTCAAATAGATCTCTCATTAAGGAAAAAGAAGTTACTCAAATAGTATGTTCCTATTGGCTTCGGAAAATGGTTACGTTCTTGTGTGAGGAGCAATACCCTAAAATTGCTTTTGAGTTGGTTATTTATATCTGTGCTGTGAAAGTTAATGCTCAATTGCCTAATGTGTATAGCTTTATTCTACATTGGTTATTTATTCAAAGATCTTAAAAATATGGTCTGGAGCAGAGTCAGTATATTTGGTCTATTCTCGTTTTAAAAAGCTATTGTTACTTAGAATCCCCACCCACGCTCTGCTCTGTTTTTCATTTTTTTCAATTTCTACTTTTATAAAATTTAGTCTAAACAAAAAACATTATTATAACATAATTACTTCATTATGCTATTTCTGTATTTCAGCTGATTCTTTTTGTTTAATATGTAGTTATAAAACTTGTATAGACAGCTACATAAATATTTGATGCTTTTTGATAGGCAGTATATTAAATTGTCTATTCTCATTTATACTTCTAGTATAGATGGTCCTCTTGAGAATAGATTTTACTGTGCATGGACATACTCCCTAAATCTAAATTTCTACTCTTTTAAAATTTATTTTTATTTATTTATTTTTTGGGGATGGTGTCTTACTATGTCACCTAGGCTGGAGTGCAGTGGCATGATCTTGGCTCACTGCAACCTCCGCCTCCTGGGTTCAAGCGATTCTCCTGCCTCAGCCTCCTGAGTAGCTGGGATTACAGGCGTGTGCCACCATGCCTGGTTACTTTTTATATTTTTAGTAGTGACGGGGTTTCACCATGTTAACCATTCTGGTCTCAAACTCCTGACCTCAGTTGATCTGCCCGACTCAGCCTCCCAAAGTGCTGGAATTATAAGCATGAGTCACCAAGTCCGGCCCCATTCTTTTCTTTTTTTTTTTTTTTAATGAGTTTCACTCCTGTTGCTCCGGTCTACTCTTTCTAAATAATTGACATGATTAGTAATTTCTGATCATTTTGGGTGGGGGGGTTATATTTGAAAAATAACTACTCAGTAAAACTTTTTAGTTTTGGAAAACAAATCTGCTTTTATAAGATAAACTATAAGGCTGGGTGCGGTGGCTCACACCGGTAATCCCAGCACTTTGGGAGGCTGAGGCGGGCAGATCACCTGAGGTCAGTAGTTCGAGACCAGCCTGACCAACACGTCTTTACTAAAAATACAAAATTAGCTGGGCGTGGTGGCATGTGCCTGTAGTCTCAGCTACTTGTGAGGCTGAGGAAAGACAATCTGTTGAACCCAGGAGGCGGAGGTTGCAGTGAGCTGAGATTGTGCCAGTGCACTCCAGCCTGGCAACAGAGTAAGATTCCCCCTCAAAAATAAACTACCGTGTAAACACAGTCTTCTTGGGGGAGTGAGGTGTAGGATATTTAAAAAATTGAAATTGCTGGTTTGATTATATTATATGAAGATAGTTAATCAGCCAACAAATGCTTATTTTTGTCCACAACATTAAATGCATGACATCTTTAAAATATTAGGATGTTTCTAAAGTTACTATGCATAATCTCTAACTGAACATGTTTTATTCCTTCAAAAGAAAACAGCATTTATAAAAAATGTGTGTGGTATAGAAGAAGGGATGGTTAATTTTGTTATAGCAAGTCATAGAAGATTTTACTGATGACGTGATCTTTGAGTTGGACTTAAATGTAGATGGGAGCAAAAATTCATTTCATGCAAAGGCAGTTAAGATGTGAAGCCATGGCCGGGCATGGTGGCTCATGCCTGTAATCCTGGCACTTTGGGAGGCTGAGGCAGGTGGATTATGTTAGGTCAGGAGTTCAAGACCAGCCTGAACAGCATGGTGAAACCCCATCTAAAAAAAAAAAATTTGAAGCCATATGGTATATTCAGAAAATCATTAGTATTTGACAGTGTTGGTGGGAAAATGTAGGGATATATAGCCTCTAAAATTAGACCTTGAGACTGACCTTTAAGGGCTTGTATTCTATAATATAATCTGGTTTTGTTATTGAGCTATAAGGGAGCCATAGAACCATTATAAAGAGTCTCAAGACTTACACAGATTTGCATCTTAGACGCATCACTATGGTACCATATAGAGGGTTGGTGGCAAGAGAATGCAGAAAGTGGGGAGGCTAGGTACAGTGGCTCATGCCTATGATTCTAGCACTTTGGGAGGCTGACAGGATTGCTTGAGCTCAGGAGTGAGACCAACCTGGGCAACATAATGAGACCTCTTCTCTACAAAAAATAAACAAGGCTGGGTACAGTGGCTCAGGCCTGTAATCCTAACACTTTGGGAGGCCAAGGTGACAGAGCAAGACTCTGTGTTAAAAACAATAAAATTAGCCAGGCATGGCAGCATGTGCCTATAATGCCACCTACTTGAGAGGGTGAGGTGGGAGGATCCCAGGAGGTCGAGGCTGCAGTGAGACAAGATTGCACCACTGCACTCTGTCCTGGGTGACAGTGAGACCTTGTCTCAAAAAAGAAAGAAAGATCAGGAGATGCTATCTTTTTAAAATCTTCCTCCCTCCCTGCCTCCCTCCCTCCCTCCCTCCTTCCTTCCCTCTTTTGTTAATATCTTTTCCTTCCCTCCTTCCTCCCTCCCTCTCTCCCTCCCTCTCACTCTGTCACCCAGGCCAGAGTACAACCTCCACCTCTCGTGTTCAAGAAATTCTCCTGCCTCAGCCTCCCAAGTTGCTGGCATTACAGACGTGTACCACCATACGCAGCTAATCTTTTTTTTTTGTATATTTAGTAGAGACATGTTTTCACCATGTTGGCCAGGCTGACCTCAAACTCCTGACCTCAAGTGATCCAGCTGCCTCAGCCTCCCAAAGTGCTGGGATTACAGGCATGAGCCCCTGTGCCTGGCCAGGGGATGTATTTCTAATAGTAGTCCAGGCAAATTATGCTAAGGACCTTAGGTTGGTAGTGTGGTAGCATGATTAAAAGGGGAGGGAGAATTAAGTTTACTTAACAGCTGTCTCATCAGTAGGACCTTACAAGTTGAGGAAAAGATTTTCTGGTTTACGAACACTGAAACTAAAGTACTTAGGGGAGCTCTTAAGTAGAACTGCCCAGTAGGCAGATGATAGCCTGTTTCGGGGTAGACATAGGATTTGATAGTTAAAACTATGGGAATGAATGAAATTGACCAGAGAAGGAAAGGTCACTGACAAGAAAATTCGGAGTGTTTTCTAATTTTAAAAAATTTTTTTTTAGAGATGGGGGATTTTAGAGATGGGAGACTTGCTATGTTGACCAGGCTGGCCTGGAACTCCTGGCCTCAAGTAGTCCTCCTGCTTAGCTTCTCAAAGTTGAGATTGTAGGAGTGAACCGGTGTGCCTGCCTGGGTATTTCTATCTTCTAAATAGGGAACAGCAGGAAAGAGGGAGACAGAACAAAAGGTAGGAGAATAGGAGAATAACCAATAAAAAGCACTCTTACAGATGCCAAGGAAAGGGTGTTTTGTTTCATTTTTTTTGAATTTTTTTGAGATTTAGTTTTACTTTTGTTGCCCAGGCTGGAGTGTAATGATGCGATCTCAGCTCACTTCACCCTCTGTCTCCTGGGTTCAAGCAATTCTTCTGCCTCAGCCTCCAAGTAGCTGGGATTACAAGCATGCGCCACCATGCCTGGCTAATTTTGTATTTTTAGTAAAGATGGGGTTTCACCATGTCGGTCAGGCTGGTCTCAAACTCCTGACCTCAGATGATCCTGCTGCCTCAGCCTCCCAAAGTACTGTGATTACAGGTGTGAGCCATCACTCCCAGCCTGTTTATTTATTTTTGAGATAGAGTCTTACTCTGTCACCCAGGCTGTAATGCGGTCGCTCCATCTCACCTCACTGCAACCTTTGCCCCCTGGGTTCAAGCAGTTCTCCTGCTTTGGCCTCCCAAGTAGTTGGAATTACAGGCGCTCGCCACCACACCCGGTTAATTTTTTGTGTTTTTAGTAGAGAGCACCTTGGGAGGCTGAGGCTGGTAGATCAGTTGAGGTCAGGAGTTCAAGACCAGCCTGGCCAACATGGCAAAACCTCATCTCTTTTTTTTTTTTAATAGAGATGGGGTTTCACCATGATGGCCAGGCTGGTCTTGAACTCTTGACTTAGGTGATCCACCCACCTCAGCCTCCCAAAGTGCTAGGATTACAGGCGTGAGCCACCGCGCCCGGCCACAAAACCTCATCTCTACTAAATTAAAAAAAAAAAAAAATTCCTGGGCATAGTGGCACACACCTGCTACTCAGCTGATCCCAGCTACTCAGGGGGCTGAGGCATGAGAATTGAACTCAGGAGGCATAGGCTGCAATGAGCCAAGATTGTGCCACTGCACTCCAACCTGGGCGACAAAGCAAGACTTTGTCTCAAAAACCAAAAAAACACAGGTTAGATGGTGAGAAGAGAATGTTTAGATTAATTATATTTATAGGCCTAAGGGCAGAAAGTTAGCTAGTACGGAAAGATGATTCATGATGTCTTTTATGTTTTCAAGGCACATTGTATTTAATGTTACTGTAGCAAGGTATTACTAATCATTTCTCTTGACTATACCACATACCCCTTAAGTAAGTGATATTATAGATCCTAACTAGAAAAAAAAATTTTTGAGGCAGAGTTTTGCTCTTGTTGCCCATGCCGGAGTACAACGGTGCAATCTCAGCTCACCACAACCTCCGCTTCCCAAGTTCAAGCGATTCTTCTGCCTCAGCCTCCCAGGTAGCTGGGATTATAGGCGTATGCCACCACGCCCAGCTAATTTTTGTATTTTTAGTAGAGACAGCATTTCACCATGTTGGTCAGTCTGGTCTTTAACTCCTGACCTCGGGTGATTCGCCCACCTCAGCCTCCCAAAGTGCTGGGATTACATGAGCGAGCCACTGCGCCTGGCCTTAGAAAATCTTATGGGAGGGCAACAAATGGACACCACAAGTTAGTAAAGTAAAACATACCCACTGATAATCCACATTTTTGAAAAGAGAGAATGGATTTGTCCAAAGTATTAGGTTTGTTACTATACAAATTTCTATGAAAATATGAAGTTAAATCTTGCAAGGTAAATATTTCATATCATTAAATAAACTTGCATAAATGTTACATGATATTCTTTTTAATATGTTTCTTCTTCAGAAGCCTAAAGAAACTGTTCCAACTCTTGCTCCTAAAACACTTTCAGTAGCAGCAGCTTTTAATGAAGATGAAGATGTAAGTCGTTGCCCAGTTTTGTTTTGTTTTTTTACTTTAACTAGTTCTTTAAGGAAGGTATTAGAGGCATATTATAGGTTATAGTAATAGTATTCGTGAATTTTCTTTATGGGTGTGTGTGTGTGTGTGTGTGTGTGTGTGTGAGAGAGATCTAAAAAAACGATGTTCTGTTTTTGCATTTTATTTGGTTTTGGGATTATTTTAGCTTATTATTAACTTTGGGGGCAAGAAGCTTAAGAATAAAATCAGCAGTTGCTTATTACGAATAATTTGTGCTGGGAAGTATGTAGGATCCAAAAAAAGAAAAATTCAATACAGTTGCCCTAATTTTTATAGTTGGAGTCTTCAGTAATGATACATTATGCTTGCATTCAACTTCAGAAAGCCAACTGTTGGCCGGGTGCAGAGACTCACACCTGTAATCTAGCACTTTGGGAGGCTGAGGTGGATGGATCACTTGAGTCAAGAGTTCGAGACTGGCCTGGCCAATATGGTGAAACCCCATCTCTACTAAAAATACAAAAGTTAGCCAGCCATGGTGGCATGCGCCTATAATCCCAGCTACTTGGGAGGCTGAGGCAGGAGAATTACTTGAACCCAGGAGGCGGAGGTTGCAGTGAGCCAAGAGCCAAGATTGTGCCATTGCACTCTAGCCTGGGTAACAGAGTAAGACTCTGTCTCAAAAAAAAAAAAGTCAAGTATTGTGCTCACTTCCCATATCCCTAGGAGGGATAACAATTAAATAGTGCAGGTGATTCTGCCAGAAATTCTACTCAAAAAGCATGTAGTCCAGAATGAACATGAGATGCATGAGTCTCTTAGTCCCAGTTTCCTCATGCCCCTCACAATGTCCCTATCTTCCCATTCTTATGAATGACCTATGGAAGTTTCAAGCATAATTCTCACTGATGGTTTTGTGTTAGACTCTGACATTAAAACCTAACCCCCCGCTCATGATGGGACCCCATTGTGTAGCAATTAAGTATCTCAGGATACATCAGTTTTTCCTAAAAATGTGTGTGTGTGAGACAGAGAGAGAGCAAGAGAGGGAGTGAGGTTTTTTGTTTTTGTTTTGTTTTGTTTTGTTTGCTTCAGAGAGAGAGGGTCTTGCTTTGTTGTCCAGGCTGGAGTGTGGTAGCATAATCACAGCTCTACTTCCCAGGCTCATGTGATCCTCCCACCTCAGCCTTCCACGTAGCTGGACCACAGCCATGCCCCACCATAATCGGCTAATATTTGTATTTTTTGTAGAGACAGGGTTTCACCACATTGCCCAGGCTGGTCTCAAACTCCTAGGCTCAAGTGATCCTCTGCCTTGGCCTCCCAAAATGCTGGGATTATAGGTGTGAGCTACCACACGGCCATATGTTCTTATGTGGATAAGACTTAATATATTCAGACGACTGGAGTGATTTGGGAAGAATATATCTGAGGTAGGCACTAAAACATTAGGCAGGGTTTTGGTGAACCAAGGAATACTTTTGTGAGCCAAGCCATCAGTTTTCAAGTCACAAGTAGTAAATACTTAGTAGCTGCATTTGACTGGACTGGAGAGATTTGTAGAGGAATTTTGAGCAAGGATAACTACGGAATAATTGGAGCCCAAATCAATAAGCAAAAAATGACTGTAGTCATTAGTGTATTCTCTCTTGGACTTCCACACATTCTCTCCATTTGAGTGCTTTCTGTATGTTAGCCCCTGTAATGTTATAAAGATAAATCAGAAATGTTTGCCTAGGAACTCAGTCTAGCAGGGCAAAGACTTAATGTAACAGTACAAGATAAAAATCTAAAGTACCTGAATAAATTACACTGTGGAAACTGAGAAAAGAAATATAGGCCAGATACTAGATGCAGCAGCATGGAAAGACCACTAGACTGGTAGTTGGAAGACCAGAATTAAGTTTGAGAAGCACTAACAGGCGCCTGACACCATGCCTGGCCAATTTTTTGTATTTATTTTTAGTAGAGACGCTTTAACCATGTTGGCCAGGCTGGTCTCAAACGTCCTTGTGATACTCCTACCGCAGCTTCCCAAAGTGCTGGGATTACAGGCGTGAACCACTGCGCCCAGCTGCATCTCTAACATTTTTATTTATTTATTTTATTTTTAAATTTAATTTTAGTTTTTTAAAGACGGAGTTTCACCATGTTTGTCAGGCTCATCTTGAACTCCCGACCTCAGGTGATCCACCTGCCTTGGCCTCCAAAGTGCTTGGATTACAGGTGTGAGCCACCACGCCCGACCTCTAACATTCTTCAGAATTTAAGTACCATTGGATTCAACCCATTCAGATATGTACAGACTGTAGAAGGGAAAAATGATACAGGATGCAGAGAACACGTACAAAAGTGCAGAGGGTTGGAAATTGTAAGCACTTACAACTATGGCTTACTTTGAATGCCTAACAATTTGGATATCTTTTCACATTATTTTACCTTTAATTTGTATCTGTGAGTTGTGTGATATATTTATTCATATTTTGAAAATGGAGAGATATACCAGCCACAGTGGCTCACACTTGTAATCCCAGGACTTTGGGAGGCCGAGGCAGGCAGATCACGAGGTCAGGAGATCAAGATCATCCTGGCTAACATGGTGAAACCCCATCTACCGAAAATACAAAAAATTATCTGGGCGTGGTGGCACATGCGTGTAATCCCAGCTACTCAGGAAGCTGAGACCTGAGAATTGCTTGAACCCAGGAGGTGGAGTTTGCAATCAACTGAGATTCCACCACTGCACTCCAGCCTGGGTGACAGAGCAAGACTCTGTCCCAAAAAAAGAAACTAGAGAAATTAAGTATGCATGAGTACATGCCAGTGCACACACATGTTGTCCTTTAGGTCTTCTGGTTTCTTGTTCTTTGCATCATACCCTACTGTCTTCCCCGCTTTTAATTTCAGATGGGTTTAGGCAACATTCTTTCTGCTATAACAGTAATAAAGGGTAAACTGTCCGGTAGATTTAAAAACCACATGTATCCAAAATCTTTATCCAGTTCTTTTTTTGGGGAGGTGGGTGGGAACATAATTAAGTAACCTTGGATATATATCTGAGTTTGAAATATGCTGAACAAAGAGGATATCCACTTACTTAATTTTGAAATGTTTAAATATTTGTTCAGTTGTTACATATGTTTAGTCTCCTTTAATTTGGACAATTCCTGGGTCTATATGTTTCATGGTATTAACATTTTTGAAGAGTACAAGCTGGTTATTTTATATAAACCTTCTCAGTTTGGATTTGTCTGATATTTTCTCATGATTAGTTTCACATTTCTTACTTTTGGCACGAATACCACAGAAGTGATGCCAAGTTATCAGTGCATCATATCAGGGAGCACATGCTGTCAGTATGCCCCGTCACTAACAGTGTTAACTTTGATCATTTGGTTAAAGTGGTGCTTGCCAGATTTCTTCATTGTCAAATTACTGTTCTACCTTTTGTGATTAAAATTTATTTTGTGGGGATAGGCTTGGAGAATATGTGAAAATAATATGATTGAGGACATTTACTCACTAATGTTAACATCCATTGATAATTCTCATCGGAATTATTATGATAAGGTTTGCCAAATGATGGTTTTTCTAATTCCATCATCCCCTCTACATCTATTAATGGTCTCTTACTGTAAGGAAGAGCTTCTTTTTATTACACTTAAATTTTATTTAAATGTATACTCATGGAATCTTCCTTTATTCAATAGGTTGTTTAAATGCTCAAATTGTCACAGATTTAACCAGTAGAAGCCCCTTTGAGCTGGATCGACACCCTTTTAAAAAGCCACAATTAGCTAAGCAGCAGCATTTATACATAAAAACTTATATCTGAAAAGATCTTTTCCCACAATTTTCAACAGCTATAATTATAGAAAACTATGGAATGAGCTCTCTCTCTCTCTCTCTCTTTTTTTTTTTTGGAGACAGAGTTTTGCTCTTGTCGCTCAGGCTGGAATACCGTGGCACGATCTTGGCTCACTGCTACCTTTGCCTCCTAGGTTCAAGCGATTATCCTGCATCAGCCTCCTGAGTAGCTGGATTACAGGCACGTGCCACCATGCCCAGCTATTTTTTTGTATCTTTAGTAGAGACTGGGTTTCATCATGTTGGCCAGGTTGGTCTCAAACTCCTGACCTCAGGTGATAACACATGCCTCACCCTTCCAAAGTGCTGGAATTAGAGGTATGAGCCACTGCTCCCAGCCAGGAATGAGCTTTCAAAATGTCCTTATAGTAAAAGATATTTTCGAGAGCAGTACTTTAAAGTGGTTAAGGACCTTCGTTTTGGTACCAAATTCTTTCGCTATTTATTTGCTTTGTTTCCTTGGGCAAGTTACCTTTGTTACCTCACCTGCAAAATATGAATGATAATAATCATACCTCCCTCATACGATTATGTTAGCATTTTTGAGAGATATGGCATATAAAAACATTTAACACAATGTGTAGCATATTATAGCTAAATGGTTTTAGTTATAGAATGTCTTCTCACCAGTTTTTTTTCTTTATGGAAAATCGGCACCCTAGAAGACAAGCATTTATTTTTTAAATGTAGTTAAGGTAAATAACTCACTGATTTTCTCCTTGTACCAAAATTTGCAGTAGTGAAAATGCTAAAAGACTTAGATTAAAAATTTAGCAATCAAGAATTTAATAAATTTGTATGCAGTTATCTTGGTTTACTTACTTTTTTTCTTTAGAGTGAACCAGAAGAAATGCCTCCAGAAGCAAAGATGAGGATGAAGAATATTGGAAGGTATTATAATTTTTCATAAATATTGTAGAAAGTTACAAAGGTGAATTAAGAACAAGAATAACTTGCACATGATTTCTTGGTGTTCTGGCTTTTCTTTTTTTTTTTTTTTATTCTTTTTGTCAAGCACTAACTTAAAGGGGTGTGCAGGGTTTTCTTTTGCCTTTGGGCAGAACACTTTTTAAAAACATTTTCTGTGTACTAGATGATTAATTAGGATTTTGAAGATGTGTGAGACATGGATCAGGCCTCATGAAGAAAGATAACTATAATTATTCTGTTAACTCTCAGTGATTTTATTTAGTCTCCCAGTTAGAGAAAATGAGTATCTTAAGACATCAATAATTTAAGATTGCTTCTTGACAGGGTCTTATTCTGTTGCCCAGGCTGGAATGCTGTGGCACAGTCACAGCTCACTGCAGCCTCTTTCTCCTACTCTCAAGCTATCTTCTTACCTAGCCTCTCAAGTAGCTGGGACCACAGGCGTATGCCACCACAGCTCGATGATTTTTTTTTTAATTTTTAGTAGAGATGAGGTTTCATTGTGTTCCCCAGGCTGGTCTCTTAATTCCTGAGTTCAAGTGATCTGCCCACCTCAGCCTCCCAAAGTGCTGGTATTAGAGGTGTAAGCCGCTGCACCCAGCCTGTTTTTTCAATTAAGAAATAGCTGTGAGAAATGTTTCTGATTTCAAAATTTTCCTGGTATAAAACAAATGGCTTTCAGTCACTTCACTTTTATAAAACATTTTTTTTTCTAAGCACGCATCTTCTCCCATTTAAAACATTTTTAAGTAGAGATAGGATCTTGCTACGTTGCCCAGGCTGGTCTCAAACTTCTGACCTCAAGCAGTCCTGCCTCACCCTCCCAAAGTGCTGGGAGTATGGGTGTGAGCCACCATGCCCAGCCACTTCACTTATGATATCATTTCTACCACTTTTTCTTATGTTTCTTTTTTTCTTTAATGACTTAGATGCCAAATACCAAAATAAAACAAATGAAAGTATTTTAATTTTCTCCATTGTTGCCGTTGTCATGGAGATAACATTAATTTTAAGTTAACATGATGTTCAGTTTCCTGTCTTTGTGCATTAGTGGGTAGCCTAGAGACTAGCAAGAAAGTTTAACTCTACATCAACTCATACTGTGTCCCCATTGCTTCCACCAAATGTATGAACCCACAAAAAACTGAGTGCTAAATCTTTTCCTTTTCCTATTTAACTACCAGTATGATAATGCCAAGTGCTAAATCTATACACAATCGTAAGTCTTCAGACTCAGTGCGTGATTCAAGTGGAGACAGTCCCAGTGGCTACCTTCATGCCTGCCTTTCATGCTGTGCCTAAAGTAGGAAGTACAACTGACATTGGTGTCCCACCTAAATATGCAGCACATAAATTAACATATTTTTTTTTTTGAGACAGAGTTTCGCTCTTGTTACCCAGGCTGGAGTGCAATGGCGCAATCTCCGCTCACCGCAACCTCCTCCTTCTGGGTTCAAGCAATTCTCCTGCCTCAGCCTCCCGAGTAGCTGGGACTACAGGCACGCACCACCGTGCAAAGCTAATTTTTGTATTTTTAGTAGAGACGGGGTTTCACCTTGTTGACCAGGATGGTCTCAATCTCTTGACCTCGTGATCCACCCACCTTGGCCTCCCAAAGTGCTGGGATTATAGGCGTGAGCCGCCGCGCCTGGCCTTTAACATATTTAAACATAAATAATTGAAGCAGAATTTCATAAAATGACAATGAACCTTTTTTTTTTTTTTGAGATAGAGTCTCGCTCTGTCACCCAGGCTGGAGTGCAGTGGCGAAGTCTCGGCTCACTGCAAACTCCGCCTCCCGGGTTCAAGTGATTCTCCTGCCTCAGCCTCCTGAGTAGCTGGGATTACAGGTGCATGCCACCATGTAAGTTTTGTATTTTTAGTAGAGACAGGATTTCACCATGTTGGTGATTTCAAACTCCTGATTTTTGTGATCCGCCCACCTCAGCCTCCCAAAGTGCTGGGATTACGGTGTGAGCCACCACGCCCAAAAGACACTGAATCTTTCTGTGTGTAATATAGCTTCATTTTTTTTCTTCTATTTTATTTTTCACTAATGCTGGCAGCCAGCTATCACATTGATTCTATGATGCTATTAATGGGTTACAGGCAACAGGTTTGTTGTGTTTTTTGTTTTGTTTTGAGACGGGGTCTAGCTATGTCACCCAGGCTGGAGTACAGAGGTGTGATCATGGCTCACTGCAGCCTTGACCTCTTAGGCTTGGGCAGTCCTCCCACCTCCGCCTCTGAGCAGCTAGGACCACAGGCACAAACCACCACACTTGGCTAATTTTTAAATTTTTTTGTAGAGACAGGGTCTTATGTCGCTCTAGCTGACAGTCAACAGTTTTTAAAACTGTAGTAGTTGCCACACTTAGCTATGTATCAGAACTGCCTTAAATGTTTGTTAAAACTACAGATTTATCCCCACCCTCAATTTAGGCCTGCTGGAGCTGAAATTCTAGAACTGTGTCTGTGAAGTTTTTTTTTGTTTTTGTTTTGTTTTGAGACGGAGTCTTGCTCTGTCACTCAGGCTGGAGTGCAGTGGCACAATATGGGCTCACTGCATCCTCCGCCTCCCAGGTTCAAGTGATTGTCCTGCCTCAGCCTCCCAAGTAGCTGAGACTATAGACACATGTCACTCATTCCTAGCTAATTTTTGTATTTTCAGTAGAGACGGGGTTTCTCTATGTTGGCTGGGCTGGTTTCAAACTCCTGACCTCAGATGATCCACCTGCCTCTGCCTCCCAAAGTGCTAAGATTACAGGCATGAGCCACCACGCCCAGCCTCTGAAGTGTATTTTTAAAAACCTTTGTAGGACTTCCCGTGTTCAGTCTGTGTTTATAATAGGTGCTACACAAGCATGTATTGAATGAGTGAAAGCCATAACCTGAAAGGCCTTATGTAAAATTTTAAATACATTTTCTTTCTTTTAACACAGGGATACACCAACATCAGCTGGACCAAACTCTTTCAATAAAGGAAAGCATGGGTTTTCTGATAACCAGAAGCTATGGGAGCGAAATATAAAATCTCATCTTGGAAATGTCCATGACCAAGACAATTAAATGTTGTTTTGAAATTGGGGCATGGGGTGGGTGTAAAGTTAAAAGGAACAGTTTCCTTTTCTAAAGAATGGTATAAGACTATCTTTGGAGCCGCTTTTTTTTTTCTTTTTCATTTTTTTAAAAGATTGAGTGGTACACTAATAAATGAGAGTTTGAAATTAGAGGTAATTTATGTTTTATATACAGATTTCAAGACATTTGCTAATTTTGTAGTTTCATGTGATTAGTTTCCAAAGGCTACAGATAATAAAGAAATCAGAAATGGTACCTTTTTAAGAATTACATATTTTTTTAGACACAACTATTAGCACATTAAGAGGGAAGCAAAAAGTTATTGTCTATTTAAAACTGCAAGCAGTTACTCTCTTAACTCCCTTATTACCTACACTTGTCTGGCTCCCAGGAACAGCCTTATAGAGAGAGGGAGTATTGTATTGGGAGGAAAATGTTAATGAACTATTGACTGAAAGTAAATTTAGATCAAATTAAAATACAGCTTTTTTCCTTATGGGTATTTGTTTTGCTTCAAGTCATCAGAAACTAGGTATTGCATTGCTATCAGTGGACACAGATGCTTAGCTCTTAAAAGAATTTTTTTTTTTTAATGTAAACTGTTGAATATTTGAACTAACCCACTTCACCTTAATGGGTCTTGTCTATCTTCATAGTCTTCAAAGAGAAAACATTTGCTACCAAAGTAAATCAGTATTTTGAATGTGCTTCTCTTGTTTTTTGTTTATTAGCTAGTTCCTGTAAGCATTTCCACCAGAACTTGAGGCAAATCATAAGGAAGCTGTTTCTTTTAAAATACAAACCACCACCAAAAACTTAAATGTACATATTGCTTAAGTATTTGGCTGTTTTTATTTTTTAAATGTTATCAACACCAAAAAAAAAAAATTAACATTGTGTGAAGATGGAAAACAAGAAGATGCGCTTTCTGTTACTTTGTCTAAGGACTTAAATTACTGACTTGTGAAATCCAATTTGAAAAGAACCTAACTACTGGCTTTCTTACTAGTAAAATTATATGGTTTATTTTAAATGTATACATATTGACCAATAGCCTTTCAAAAAGCACATTTTAGATACTGAAATAGAAGGAAAGAAGATGCATCTTCAAACATTTTTTGGAATCTCACCACATATACTTTGTTAGATTTGTGTATTGTAGGGTGTTTGTTTTTGTATTTTTGTATTGTATATGAACTTTTTTTTAATGTGACAGTTAAACACATCTTTAAAAGCATAGTCACAGACAAAAGAAACATACAGTATAAAAATTTTCTTGAAAACTCCTACAATATTGTATTTGGAGGCAGCTTCAGACTGTTGTATTGGTGGTAACTGCTCGCTGAGCTCTTTTACTTGGTAATAACTTCAGAGAAGAAGCCTGTGTATATTCCTAACACTTTGTTCACTAGCATTTAAGTTTAGAATAAGCCCCAAGTAAAACAACGGAAATGTATATAGAACTCTTAGTTCTGACATGATTTAATTATATCAAGATACATGAATTTAACTTACTTTAATGTAGGCAAACTCTCCATTTTTGTCCATTTTCCTGTTTGTTAAAATAACATACCTCTCCTACATATTCTTTTCTTGACCCAAATGAAATATTAACCTAAGGTCAAGCTGGGAGAGAGAAACGACTGAGATGAATGTCTTTACTAAAATACCAATAAATTTGTCAAACTCAATAGTGTGTTTATTTTCTGTTCCATTTAATAATAGCTTACTGGGTTTTGTTCTTAAAGTTGAGACTGATGTCGAATGTTGCTCTTGTTCGTGTTGTTGACCAAAGTAATGGGGGATTTAAAATTTTGAGTTGCCAGCTCGGCACCTAGTTCTACAGCATTACAGAATCCTAGACTGAAAGACGTAAACCTCCTCCAGTGCCAAAGATTGTCTGTCCTGTGCTTTAGAACATCTTGCCAAAGCCTTTCTTTGACAATCACTAAGTATTAAAAAGTTTTTTTTGTTTTTGTTTTGAGACAGAGTCACACTCTGTTGCCCAGGCTGGAGTGCAATGGTGCAATCTTGGCTCACTGCAATCTCCACCTCCCGGGTTTAAGCGATTCTCATGTGTCAGCCTCCCGAGTAGCTGGGACTACAGGTGCATGCCACCACACCCGGCCAATTTTTGTATTTTTAGTAGTGATGGGGTTTCGTCATACTGCTCCGCGTAGTCTTGAATTCCTGACCACAAGTGATCCACCCACCTCAGCCTCCCAAAGTGCTGGAATTACAGGCGCGAGCCACCGCACCTGGCCTAGAAGCTGTTCTTTTACCTGTGTCTTCTGTCCATTAATCCTGCATATGGATTTAAGACCATAAAGAAAAAGTAATCTTAATTACTTTCTTCACATATTTGAAGTTTCTTTGTACCCTATACTTCTGTCTCCCCCTCTCAGCTTAAATATTGCCACTTGATAATTTATTGATAATTTTTAACTCAGTTTACCTTCTTAGCATTCTATGCGTTGTCAACACGTTGTATATGCCCAAACTTCATTTCTTTTGTTATCATGAATTTTTAAGACCACATAGTTGTTTTCTTTCATTTTTTATCACTTCTTTGCTAACCATTCCCTCCCACACGTTTGGTGCAGCTTTTTCCTTTAGTTTTCTCTACTTGACAAGAGCTTGTCAGATATTTCCCTTTTCGAATATATTTTAATGTTTTTGTTTTTTTTCTTTTGGAGACTCAGTAGCTCTGTCACCCAGGCTGGAGTGCAATGGCACAGTCTTGGCTCAGTGGACCCTCCATCTCCCAGCTCAAGCAACCTCTAGCCTCAGCCTCTTGAGCAGCTGGGACTACAGGTGTGTGCTGCCACACCTGGCTGGTTTTGTTTTTTCATAGAGATAGGCTTTCACTATGTTGCTCAGGCTGTTCTCAAACTCCTGGGCTCAAGCGATCTGCCCACCTTGATCTCCCAAAGTGCTGGGATTATAGGCACGAGCCACCTGCACTTTGCTAGAATATACAGTGCTGCTTCTTACCAGGTCAGGTCCTAGGTAAATGGAAAAGTTGAACTACGTTGTAGAATTAAGATTCATTTCTAGTTTGACTAATAAGGCTGTGAGTTTCAAGGTTTTTTCTCCTTTAAGTTTTTTTAGTTTTTTTTTTTTTTAGAAATGCTGTCAAGTTTTTTTTCTTACATCAAGATTGCCTGACATATTATGAAGGGATTGCTCAAGTTATATTAGTGGTTAAGTAAAAATACTAACTTTTCCTTTTGAAAAAACTTTAGACTTAACAAAACATAAAAATATTACAAAGTTATTACTACTATCTATTATACTACTTTTTACTACTCTACAGACCTTCAGATTTGCCCCACTAATATACCCCTAGTCCAAGATCTTCATTGTCACTGTGGATTTTCATCCTTTTTTAGTCTCTTTTAATCTAGGACACTTCAGTGTTTATCGTTCATGACCTTAGATCAAAGTACAGGCCAATTATTTTTAAAAGATGCCGCAAAAGAAGAAAAAAAAAAAGATACCGCAAACATTAGGTTTGCCTAATGTTTCCTTATGATGATTAAATTCAGTTTATGCAATACCTCAATATTTTATTTCTGCCATAAGGATTCCATAACTAAATTATGGTTGATAAGAAACCTGAGGTCAGAAGAAACTACAAAATGACCCATGTAACGATGACTGAAAATAAAGTATCTATTTTACCCTATGAGGAAAAAGATTATAACAGGAAGCTGAACAACTAAGTAATGCAAAGAAAGCGACATTCAGGGAATGCAAGTAATAGATAACTGGAATATTTGCAAACTCCGCTTCCTGGGTTCAAGTGATTCTCCCGTCTCAGCCTCCCAAGCAGCTGGGATTACAGGTGCAGACCACCGTGCCCAGCTAATTTTTAGTGGAGATGGGGTTTCACCTTGTTGGGAGGCTGGCCTCGAACTCCTGACCTCAGGTGATTCACCCGCCTCAACCACCTGCTGGGATTACGGGTGTAAACCACTGCACCAGGCCTCCCAGTTTTATTCCCTAGTTCTCTTCTACAATCAGGTATACAGTTTATCCTGTAACTTGAAATTCCTCCCAGTGCCTTTCATATGAATCTCCATCATGCTTGGCTGTGCCCTTAGATTTATATACATTTTTTTCCTTGTTTGTATTTTTTTATTTTTATTTTTTATTTTTTTTTGAGACGGAGTTTCGCTCTTGTTACCCAGGCTGGAGTGCAATGGCGCGATCTCGGCTCACCGCAACCTCTGCCTCCTGGGTTCAGGCAGTTCTCCTGTCTCAGCCTCTCGAGTAGCTGAGATTACAGGCACGTGCCACCATGCCCAGCTAATTTTTTGTATCTTTAGTAGAGATGGGGTTTCACCATGTTGACCAGGATGGTCTCGATCTCTTGATCTCGTGATCCACCCGCCTTGGCCTCCCAAAGTACTGGCATTATAGGCTTGAGCCACAGCACCCGGCCGTTTGTATTTTTTTAGTCTTTAGATTTAAATATATCCAAAAATGTTTTTTAAAAAATTGAAGTTAGTCCTTCGGTAGTAGATTAGACTCACTGTTTTACAGCCTGCTCCTCTCTTCAGGCAAAGTCTCTGTCAGGATTCTGCAGGTGGAGGTGGGGACAATGGCAAGCTTCTGAGTGACAGCCTTGCTTTGCAAGCTAAGCACAAACTTCAGCAGCCTGAGATCCTCTTTGATTCCTTTCCCGGTGTGGAACCAGCACTTCACGAGCTTAAATAAGTCACAGTCCTCTCAGCACACTTTGCCCAAGGTGGAACTTCCATTCTACAAGTAGGGGTTGGGTGGGAAAAAAAATCCCTTAACCATACATACCCAGGACTTAGCCTCAGCAACAGGTAGCTGGGGGCGGGATAAGAAATACTGACATCCTTGCCTGGTGGGGCGGCTCACACCTGTAATACCAATACATGGGGTTTTTGTTGTTGTTGTTTGGGGGTTTTTTTGAGACAGAGTCTCACTCTGTTGCCCAGGCTGGAGTGCAATGAAGCAATCTCAGCTCGCTGCAACCTCCACCTCCTGGGTTCAACCAGTTCTGCTTTAACCTCCCAAGTATCTGGGATTATAGGCGCCCACCGCCACACCCAGCTAATTTTTGTATTTTTAGTAGAGACGGGGTTTTACCATTTTGGCCAGCCTGGTCTCGAACTCTGCAAGTGATCCACCCGCCTCAGCCTGCCTGTTGGGATTACAGGCATGAGCCACCGCGCCTGGCCCCAACACTTCGTTTTGGTGGTGGTGGGTTTTTGTTTTTGTTTTTCTGAGACAAAAGTCTCTGTTGCCCAGGCTGCAGTGTAGTGGTGCAATCTCTTCCTCACTGCAACTTCTGCCTCCTGGGTTGCAGAGATTCTTATGCCTCAGCCTCCTGAGTAACTGGGGTTATAGGTGTGCACCACCACAACTGGCCAATTTTTGTATTTTTGGTAGAGATGGGATTTTGGCATGTTGGCCAGGCTGGTCTTGAACTCCTGACCTCAAGTGAGCCACCCACCTCAGCCTCCCAAAGTGCTGGGATCACAGGGGTAAGCCACTGTGCCTGGCCTACTTTTTTTTTTCTAATGAGGTGGGGTCATCATTTTGCCCAAGCTGCTGCTCTCAAACTGTTGGGCTCAATCAATCCTCCCACCTCAGCCTAGTAGTTGGGATTACAGATGTGCACCCCTGCACCAGGCTACAAAATTATTGTACTTAAACTTCTATTATAAAGGATTCAGCTCAAGAACAGCCAAGTGAAAGAGATGCATAAGGCAAGGTCTGACAGGAAGGAGCACAGAAGCTTCTGTCCTTGGGGGTAAGAGTGTGTCCACTGCTTGGTACTGGCACAGGATTGGGGGAACCTCAGGCAGGTGATGCCCCATGTGGGCCTCGCTTGGCCATGCTACCTGCTGCAAGAGATGGCCCACCCACTTGGCCCACTGAGCCTGAGTCTGGTTTGCACTTCAGTTCCTGAGTTCTTGTCCTACGCCCAAGAAGAATGAGGATTCTCTGACAATCAAAAAGTGAGCACGACAGGGAGTTTTACTGAGTGATGAAACAGATTTCAGCAGAGAGGTGATGTGGGGGTGGTTCCCCTACCTGAAGACAGAAAAGTCCCCCATGTTGCTGGGTTCAGGACCTTTAATTGACCCAGAATGAGGAGTGTGTGCTGATTGGTTTGTGAGTATGCAAAAAAGGTTAAAGCAAAGACACTACTCAAAGTTGGGCATGACAGTGCAGAAAACCAATTAGGAAAAGGTAGGTATATGTAAAATAGGTGAAGGGTGGGGATCAATCAGAGGAAAGCATGCCAAATGAGAAGACAAGTTCTTAATCTGGTCCAAGGATTTTTTTTTTTTTTTTTTTTTTTTTTGAGACAAAGTTTTGCTCTTTTACCCAGGCTGGAGTGCAATGGCGCAATCTCGGCTCACCACAAACTCCTCCTTCTGGTTTCAAGCAATTCTGCCTCAGTCTCCCGAGTAGCTGGGACTAAAGGTGCACACCACCATGCCCAGCTAATTTTTGTATTTTTAGTAGAGATGGGGTTTCACCTTGTTGACCAGGATGGTCTCGATCTCTTGACCTCATGATCCACCCGCCTCAGCCTCCCAAAGTGCTGAGATTATAGGAGTGAGCCACCATGCCCGGCCATTTTTTTTTTTTTTTTGAGACAGAGTTTCACTCTTGTTACCCAGGCTGGAGTGCAATGGCGTGA